GTAATCTTGGAACAGAGTTCTCGAAATTATTATAAAATTCATATGAAATCACTACGTATAATCCGATAATTACATATGCAACTATGAGAAATTATTATATAATATTAAAATTAATTAAATAAAATCGTATATTTTATCAAATGACTTCATATTTAGTGAAAAAAATTATTTCTAATCAGATGAAATCATATGAAATCATGTAATCTGCGGGACAATATTGTAGCTAGTGGTTACCTCCTCGTTCGAAATGAGTTTTTTGGTTCCTGTACGATTTTTTATGACCAAGTTAAGTGGATTTGGAGTTAGGCATACGTTGCCTCTCGCGCTGTCGCGCTGCGCGTTCACTTGACGCGAGACATCGTATCTCTTGATCATGTATAGCTAACAAGTGTCATATTTTGATTTGTGTTTCTTAGACTTGACATTCCAAGATTAGCGCATAACAGTCGCTAGAAGATCATTCAACCACAACATGTGTTTCCGGAGTACACCACGTGGAGGCGATCACTTTGTTACTTCTTTTTGTATATTTTTTAAATTATTTTTATGGTTTTTTTATTTTTTATTTTTGTTTTATTCTTATTATTCTTTTTAATTTTTAATTTTTTAAATTTTTTAAATGGAACGAAGCCCGAGTAAGCTTGTTCGAATAAACTTCAAAAACGATAATAACTTCAAATCCACGTAACTTGATCATAAAAAATCGTACAGAAATACAAAAAATCTCATTTAGAAGGTAAAAGATAACACTTTAAGATAAACGTACACAAAATTGGCAAAATAAAGTTTCCTTTACCACAATATTATTATAAAAGAGGCCAAAATGTTCAATTTTCGCCTATTATTATCCCCATTTTCTCAGAAATGTAACGTGATATGCAAATTCTGAGGACGGCGTTTTCAGCGTCAAAAAACTTTGGAAATGATACTTCGCAAGCCAAAGACAAAATCGGTGTTCCACAGTAATTAAAATAAAAAGTAAATTTTAATCCTTTTGAGTTTTCTTTACTACCGATTTAACAATTACATATCTCAAAATTAATTATACAGGTGTCCGGAAAATCGCTCGCAATACTTCGGGAAGTGATTCGGGACCCAAAAAGACGGGAAAAAATGCTATATAAATATAGGTCCGGAAATAAGTCGTTTCCGAGTTATAACCACTTTTATGTTAAAAAATTGTAATTTATTTCAAATAATCACAATTATAATTTTTATTCCATAATGTTTTAACATCAATAACTACATTTTGAACTATTTTGGCGTTACCCAGGATGCATCACGTGGAGGCATAGTCCACTTGGCATCCCTCTCTTTTGTTTTTTATTAAAAAATTTTTTACTTTACTAGAAGGATTTTAGTCGTCAGTCGGACACCTTGGGTAATGCTAATGCCCGGCGGTGCTGTAACTTGCAAGCTTTATAACTCGAAAAGTACTTAATGAAAATGAACTTAATTATAGTGTTTTGAAAAGCTCTCGAGATGATCTATAAGAATATGCAATAAAAAGTAGGGGATTCCGTTTAAGAAATTGAAGGTAACCTTCACGTTACCTTCAAGCAACTATTCAAAGTCAAACTAATGACACTATCTTATGTCGCCCTCAAAGCCATACAACTTTTGTCTGAAATATTTTTTTCCAAGATCAAAAATAAGAAAGTTATTTGCAGGGGTGGGACATTAAAATGGGACACCCTGTACACACACACACACACACGCGCGCGCGCGCGCGCGCGCGCGTACGTACGTACGTATATACAAGTAAACATAAATTAAAATGTAAGATGTTCAAAAATTTAGGTTTCTGTAACAAATCATGTTTGTTAATTACTGTCTTTAAAACGACTCATAGTTCATAACGCTCAATCGTCTTTTTCTTAACGTTTCACCAAACTTTCTCGTGGTCTAACATCTAATCGCGCACTAACGTCGTCATTTACGCATCGTGGAAGTTTCAGGCACGCGGAAAACAATTACCCGTCGCATGTGAAAGAAAGTACAGCGCCTCGACAAAAATGGGCAGTGACGACTGCGGCGGATATTCGTGCCGGGTCGATAAACCTTTGCATTTCACGGATTTTTACAAATACGCCCCACAAGACTATCGCCTCTATTTGCATAAAACTTTCGAATTGTCCGCTTGGTCATCTGTTAGAAAGCCATTTATACAATCATCGACACAGGTATGCTTTCTCGCTATCGGACCACACCGAATTGTTCTTAATTTTAATCTTTTAATCTTAATTTTAAAGTTTTCAGGATATACCTACTATCCGTTTGCTACTGTTTATCTGTCTCAACAATTTGTCTATTGAAACTTATTATAATTATGTATATTATATCCACATATAATAGACTAATGTTTCTTAGATAACTTTAACTGAAAAGCTTTAGAAGTTTTTGTAAATATACAAACCGTACTCTCTTATTACGTATATTTAAATTACCTAATTATTCTAATTTATCTAATTATTAAAAATAATCATAAAATTGACAAAATAAAATGTTTGAAAAATTGAAAAAAATTTGTTTAGATACAAAAATTGTTTTTTTTTTTACTAAAAATTATGTTACATCAATTTTTGTAATATATGCTATTAGACGTTTTGTAAATTCTTATTAAATTTTATAGAAATTAAGTATAAATTTTTATAATTACTGGTAAAATACATATTATTAGAAGATAATAGTTTGTTAGAATTATTTTAATATTAAAACAATTTATTTGTATTATATTATATGTTGCATACACAGTGATATAGTTGCAAAGAAAAAAGTTAATATCATCGATAAGTGAACCAGTCACGAGCAAACGTTATCGAAGAGGGGATTGGAGAGGATTCTTGGACAAGAGGTGATTGCACTTGTACACATGGCTTTTGGAGTCTTTGTAATTAACGTGACGACGACCCACTGACCCACTGAACGATCGATTTTTTCGCTCAACAGTTTGAGACAAACGCTTTTTTAATGTATCTGGATTTTATGAGACTTGAGCGTTTATAAGATTGGAAAGTTTGTGAATTTCATAATGATAACTTTTATTTTAATTATAAAAGGAAAACGTGTGTGATTCTGCGACTTACGCTGATTCTGAATTATGTAATATCGATACATTAGGTATCCTTCGAGATACAAGACAAATCAAAGGTCAACATTTCCAAATCTCGAAATAAATATTTGAGAAGTTTTGCAATAAAAATTTAACTATTTGCATACTAATCAGCCCCACTTCGAACTATCTCGAATATTTACTTATTTTCCAAGAAACTTGATATTTGCCAACCTTCGTCTTTGGTCTTTTTCTAATAAAGTACATCTTCATTTGAGATATGGCACCATATAAAGTGTGCATTTCCACATCTAAGAAAATCGTGATCAAAATAAAAAAGTGAATAGACTTCCAAAGATTGTAAAACATACATTTGCGTTCTCTAAATCTTTCAAAAAAATGATTTTAACATGTTTAATATGTCATATATTGTAAGATACAACATTAAATTTCAAAAATTCAGTTAAGAACTTACATTTTCGAGGAACGACATCTTCTGATTTCTCAATAGCAAATCTTAAGGAACGCGGAGCAGGAAATCTTAATTGGATCTCAAGTATCTTTATCGTTATAAAATTGTGATACAGTTACACGCAACAGTACTCAGGTTAATTCGTACATTTCATGTCGAACGGAAATGACTCTGCCGTATTCGTCTTGTTTCTAAATGTGTCAGCTGTGCGAAAGGATCCGAGCAGAATTCCCACTGAAAAATGTCGACATTGGGCCACGGTCAGGGTCCCGGTCACGCGACCCTGATTTCGCGTCCCCGCGATTTCACGCTCGCGACACGAACCCGCTACCGGATTTTCTCATTTTTCTGTCGGGTACTGCTCGCGGTTAATTGTGTAGAAAATGCATTGATGACATTTCATTTCTATGAGATGACACCAAATGAAATATGCGGAAAATATGTCGTTCAGAAACTTATGTCAATATAAAAACGAGAAGAATGATATGTATCGAAGAGAAATGTTATTTCTATATTGTTACGTAATATATAATTACTTATGAAAATATCCAATTTTAATTACTTTGCATAAATCTTCTTTAATCTCTGGGTGTGTTTGTTAATAAAACAGTAAAATATTCTGTAGATATAATATATAGAGATATAGAGATATACGTTTTTTATTCGTGTCAAAAAGAAATCTAAATAAATTAAACTTGATTATACATAGACGCAAGCGGCAAAAGGCAAAACAAAGTTTAGAAAATCTTTTGCACCTGTCATGTCTGGTTTCTATTAGAGACATCTCAGTTCACGATGTTACGCAATAAATTTGTTGATTTCACCTTCGTGGCTACGTTCTGCTTCGACGATATGAAGAACGACCTCGAGACCACGAATCTTACTTCTCGTCAAGAGACAATCGTTTACTTCCCATGCTCCGGCAGTTTGTGTGTGAAAAGGTGCACCAGGAATTTTCTTTCACAGTACCTACGTAATCTTTGACCTATAAAGGGCAACATGCAAAGCCGTCAGGTGTACGACTCTGTGGATTTCTGTAATAAACAACAAATACGAAGATGTATGTGGTATATGAAATTGTATTGCTCACTTTTAATTGAAAATACAACATTTGAAATACAAAATTTATTACAATTCGTATTACAATCTGATTTTCGCTTCAGCATTCGTAACTATAAATTTATGTCTTCTAACGTTAACATTGACGATGTTGAAAAGTCAGTTCTCTCGCGACATCCTGGCACATACTGGTGCATACGAGATTCTTGCATGTTAAGATATGACATCTCGAGTCAAGGTACTAACTAGTATTAATAGCAAACTAGCGTGTTACGTCATTCGCAGGAAAAGGGAAGCGCCATTAAATGTTTCCACATAAAATCGAACTGAGGAATGTCCATTTCTCTCGGCATAATTCTCGCCGTTCTATGAACGACGGTCGACGCGACAGCGCGTCAAGGAGATAGGTATGGCGACAGGATCTCAGGAGTCCAGGGAGCGACCTGAGGAGCGACGATGAAAATCGTAAAGAAGGAGAGTGGGAGAGTGTCTGGTAGTGAAGCGGAGTGGGACTCAGTCACGAAGTCTCACGCCTTCCACCAGTTCTCAGTCCGAAGACGAACGTACTGGTAGGTAGTGGTTTGCCGCTCCGCTCCGAGACCATCCGTGCGCGTGTGTGCGTGTGGCGTGGTTGGTGTGTGTGCGCGAGCGTAGAACGGCACAAGAGCGGCTCCTCCGGAACGTCGATGTGTCAGTGTCGATCTTGAGGCCCATACGGGGGACTTTGTCACTTTTTTTCGAGCCTGCATTCGCCGTCATCGTTCAGAAAAGATTCGTAGTATCGAGTTTGACGGTCTTTTTCGAGCAGCATCCGCCATTTTCGCTATCTCCGCGCGTGAGGCCCAATGAGGCCCACCGGTGCTGGTACAGTGATTCGCGCGGCCGACGCCTGCGGCCGCGCCTCTGGATTCCACAAACATCGGCACACGGCTCGTAGAAATAATTGTTAAATTCTCACCGTCGCGTCGGCTTGTTTCCTCTACTCGTCGTTCTCCAAGGATATCTACGGTGGCCCCTGACCGCGAATGTACCGTGTACTGAGTATGCGTATATGTACATGTGACAGCGGCTACACGTGGAGGTGCATTAGTGAGGGACAGCGACGGCTACGCCATTGCGTCGCATACCAGCGAGGGCCCCGGGTCTGGTAGCGGAGAAGGGGTTATAGAGAAGCCTAGAGAACTGAAAGGAAGCAACAGAGACAGAGCACGGGAAGGGGCTGTGATAGAGAGAAGAGGTACGAAGGGAAAGAAAGCGACGGAGACAGTGAAGGAAGAGAGAGAGAGAGAGAGAGAGAGAAGAAGAAGGGACAGAGGGAGTAAAACGGGGCCCGATACTAGCAGAGGGGGATTTGCAAGAAGGCGGCCATAATGGCCTGAAGCGATCTCTGGAGCGAGCGGCTACAGCTGCTGCGAAATATCCACGCTGCCGAGTTCCTCTCGCTGTTACTGCGCGTACGTATTTTGCAACGCTGCGCTGCGACGACGTGTATGCGCTGCATCGTGTACACACCGCTTATCCGCCTGTCTTTGGAAAGCAGCGACTGCGTAATCGACTGCGAGTGCTACCAGGCGGAGTCTCGACGCAACATAATCGCTCAATGAGCTCCTGAGTCACATCCGCGAGTCTATGTTACGCGTGGGAAACGATTCTCCAGATAATAATTGACGAGAATCATATTATAACTAAGAAAAAAAAAATCATATCGCTCTGTCGCCGATTGGGAAGATCGACGCTTGTCATAAAATCTACGGTACCACGCATCGAAATCTCCGAATGGTTTCTTCGTTTAGAACAATTCTAGATTATTTTTAATATCATGTTATAAAATACGCGACTGATTCGCGTATGATAATATTTTGTTTCTGTTCGAAAATTAAAAGTAATTATCTAATAAGATTAACCGGATTAAACCAAAGTTCTTGATTTTTTATGGCAACTTGGATTATCAAAGATAGTTTTCTGATTATTAATGAATATTAATTGCGTTCGTAGTTTCCAAATTGTGTCACGAAATTCAATTCGATTGAATCTTTCTGATCGACAAGTTAATTGAGCCGAATAAAAAAAAATGACGGGAGCTAATCAGGATACGGCGACACCGTATTGTCGCTGTAGAGTACTCTATTTGGGTAGTTCAGTACCTCATGCGAGCAAAGAGGGACTCCTGGGTGTTCAGGAGCCTCTGAGAGAACTTTATCCCGAGCAGGGTGCATTGGGTGCGCGCGGAATTGACTCCTGGCTAAGTGTTTGGAGCAATGGCTTACTCTTGGAGAATGTTGACGAACATCGCAAAAAAATTACGCGATTCTTCCCTATCGAAGCGCTACACTATTGTGCGGCGGTCAGACATGTCAAAGGTGGAAACGGAGATACATCCAATACACGTTTTCTGCCGTTGGATTCGCCGTTCGCGCGAACGCCCAACGCGAATCATCCACCCCTGTTCGCCGCCGTCCTGCGAAGAACGACCGGCATTAAAGTTCTCGAGTGTCATGCGTTCATCTGCAAACGGGATATGGCGGCCAACGCCCTGGTAAGGTGTTGCTTCCACGCTTATGCCGATAGTAGCTACGCGAAAGGCCTGGAACCATCATCGGCGACGACGAACGGGGTCGCGATTGGTCATCAATCGAACAACAGTCTCTATCACACTCTAGGCGGCTCGAGCACCACTCTGGATAGTCCTCAAGCGACCCGCTTAGACACAGCTTCGACTGACGAATTCAGTCTGTATAATGGCGACGAAAATCATAAAGTGTGGGCCAGGGGTCGCGACGAAGTCGATGGTCTTTATCAGGAACAGGGCACCCTGCGAAGCACGAAAGGATCCAGACCGCGTCAGTTGTCCCCCGCCCCCACCCGCTCAACCATTGTTGCTGGAAGAAACCTCTTCCGCGCGGAGAAAAGCTAATAAGAAGCTGAAAAAGATGAAGACTCGTTCGTTGCACGAGGACGCATTGCAACAGCAACAGCAACAACAACAACAACAACAACAGCTCCTTCATCATCAGTTGCATCAAGGCGTGTATGCCAACGGCCACGGACATCACACCCTGGGTCATCCTATCAGGCAGCAACATTATCATCATCATCCACTACCACCCAGCAGTCGATCCGTCGCCGGTACTTTGGCTAGACCGGCGCCGGTTTATCTGGTACCAGCAGCCACCTTGCCGCGAAAGAGTCATCATCATCCACGTTTAAGACCCATTCCGGCAGCAGCACCAATAGTCCCAGTCTATGCTCCTTTGCCAGTGGTACCGCCGACTGCGGCACCCATTTATCCACCAGCCACGTACGGTACCGCAGGAAACAGAGGCAGACGACACCCGGAGGCGGATAACTCCACCTTGGGCACATCTAGAAGGTTAGCTGCCTCTCATGCGGATCTCACCGCGCCGGAAATCGCTCGGCAGGCGGATAGTCCGGAAAACGAGTCTCGCTTTGGTACCGGCATATATCGACGGAAGGGTCATCTGAACGAGAGAGCCTTTTCTTACAGCATTCGGGCGGAACATCGTAGCAGAAGCCATGGCAGTCTAGCCTCCTTGGGCTTCAGCGCGCAGAACGGCAATGCGTTACCAAAGGAGGAGAAGAAGGATCGCGAGATTGCCCAGCTGGTTGCCGGATTGAATCTCAACGATGGACCAGAACGGACGCAGCCTCCAAATTCGAGAGGAGGATATCATCATCACCAACAGCAACAGATTCAACCGTTGCCCAGGCCGAGACCCCGTTAGAATCGCTTCTTTGAGACTAGTCTCTTGCAGTGTCATGCTGTCTGAAGCTTTTTAGGTGGTTCAGAGCGATTTCTGGATATTTTTTATAGAAGAAAATACTTTAAAGAGTATATACGAAGCATATTTATAGTTAAATTAATATTTTCACCTTCTTTATCAGACACTATGGTCATAAATTCAATTACTAATGATATGCTAATATTCTTCACTATATTAAAACAGGCACATATATGATAACAGACAAATATGGCGTCTTTGAACGCCAATTCAGCTGCCAATAATGAAAACATTATATAATGAATAATTGAGGGGATGGGCGGAATAAAGGTCTAATTACAAAATCTTGATATTAATAAAAACTAAAATAACTCGCTACTTCTTTATTATACACAAATAGGTACAATATTAAATGAATTTATGTAATGTCTTTAAGAAGTTACATGTTATATTACGATAAATATTATATGAGAAGCTAATTACCGGAAAAAGGGCCTAAGTAGAATTATGCCTTTATTCCGCCCATCCCTTCAATTAATAACTATCATCCGATCGATAAAACTTCGTGCAATCCTCTCTTCTTTTATCAATAATGTTACGGCTAGACAATTGTTCCAAATGAATTTTGCTTTTTCCGGTCGATCGCGTTGATGCAATAGCGACTTTGTCTGGGTTAACAAACATCTTCTTGCAGCTTGCTTCCCCAAGCGTAACATCGGCGCTACAGTTACGAGCGATTTCACGTTCCGTTGTCATGTCACGTGGAAAAAGACTGCATTGCAAAACGTTGCAATTCCGACTCTCCGTAGCAAGTTTTACTTAACGGTATTATACACAGCAGCAGATGTATTTTAAATTATTTTTCTTAATTCAATAACATTATAATTCATACCCAATTTGATGACAAAAGTATATTTTTGTTATGTTTGAATATAATTATCTATCAAGATTCCTAATTCAATCAGATTAATATATTCTATATAAAAACAAAAAATCAACAAGATGTCATACATTACACAATGACATAACGTCCTCTAAGACATCCAACGACCTTTCTGTCACAGAACAAACTAATTACTAAGGTAGTAATTATTGTCGGCTCTTAGAAAAGAGATAGTTTTTTACTGTCTGAAACTCATTAGGAGGCGTAAAGCATGGAGAGAGAGAGAAAAACGAAACTGCTATATATATTTTCTCTGTGAAAATAAGGTGAAAGGTTTAATGTCGTCGACATTAAAAGTTTTTTCGGATATTTGAACATATACAACACATCTCTTGAAAATATCAAAATTTCAATAAACTTTTAGTATCTTCCTTTTATATAATTAAATCAAGTATTATATCTTTTAAACAGTATTTTAACGAGATACAAATAGAAATTGATTGGTTACACATATAACATCTGTGCAATTTATATAACTGATGGAAAAAAGCAAGATAATGGCGTTACATAAAAAGCAGATAAAAAAAGTCTGATCAGAATCGATATTTGCAATTGCGAAGAATACGCGAGTCGCATATATTACGTCGACCGAGAAAAGCGTCCTTGGTTATGACACTTTGCGGCCACGCACTTGTTGAAGTTTTATCGCGGCACATTAGTACTGATGTCGTAAGCAAAAGTTTAAGCGCAAAAGGAAACGCTCTCGTTCGAAATTAAAAGGGCGTTTTTTAACGCTCGAAGGATCTCACCAATTATACGTAAATATATGTATAATCAAATAAAATATCATATGTTTATTATCGCATTACTTAAAAAATAGATTTTTATTATTGTCGAAGATAAGATTATTCGCGACATTTCTGGTTGAAAGCAATTATTTTATGAGAAATTTTTAAAGACAATGAGATGACACACGCATATTATAAAAGACGGTAATTCTCTGTAGATGATAATGTGATACAAATGTCCTCACCGATTAAAAATATCTAACGCACCGAGATGCTTTTGCGTAGACGTCAGTGCTGATGATCACGATGGAGATCTTAATCGCTCAGTCGCTATAATTAACACTTTCGCTTACTTCATCGTGATGCAGTTACGTAAACGATCTCGACGTGTCGCCTGCGAATCCTCGAAAGTCGTCTAAATTTTATCAATCGTAATTTCAATTCTTTCAGTTTTATATATCACTCGAGGCAAATACAAATAAATGTCGAGCTGCTATTTATTAGTTGTGAAGATCCTAAATGATTCGTGTACATATCAGTATTCAGTAATTAGTGATTGAGAACTGCGTAAGAACAATTATCTGTTATTACGCAACTGGTACGTAGCATTCAAATGCCACTCAGAGAGGTTTCTCTCTCGATTGGCACGTCATCGAGCGCGTCAATTATGAGTTATAAAAAAAAGCTTCGCCTTTCGCCACAAATTTCTCCAAACGGTATAATGATAGGTATTACGCAGAAAAATGTTTACAAGGAATGTACGAACGGAAAGAGAATAATTTATTTATGTAAATATACAAAAATTTTATTTAAAATATTACTGGAAGTTGCTTCAATGACATTTATACGTGAAATAATACAAAATAAATAATCATATATATATATATATATATATATAGTGTGTGCGTGTGTGTGTGTGCGTGCGTGTGCGTGTGTATCACTCTGGACTTTCATTAGAAGCTTTACATAATCGTCTTTCTTTTTGCTAAATTTGAATAGAGAAATAATATGCAAAGTTATTCAATATGTAAACTCGGAATTATAAGCAACAACATGTTTATAGAAGGTGACATCTCTGCTTAATCGATGTATAACTTCGAGCAGAAAGTTGTGGCGACACGTAGCATCGTTAACGCGTTACCGCATGACTTGTTCGTGACGGAAGTATTATGCAAATCAGGAAACGACAGGTAAATGCCTTTTTCTCCGAAGTGATCCTTTTCTAAGATCTCGTCGATGAAAGAAAACCGCAAGTCATATCATCAATATGCATATTAAAAGATTAAATGCCACCAGATTAAATTTTTTCTCCATTCAGTTATTCGAATGAAAAAAAAAAAAAAAGAAAAAAGAAAAGACATTTGGGTACAAACGCACAGAACGAAAAAAAAAGAGAATTCTACGCCACTAATTATTATCGCTCGGTTGTGCACATGGATGCACACGTATTAGTCACTGACTATTGTTATCATGTCGTTTTTACGCCAAGGTTGCGAGCATATATAATTCTCTCTTTTCCTTATTTTTCTGTCACGCTCTTTCCAGATATTTCACGACGTCTGATAAAACAAAACTGTACATTGACTATTGCGAAGATTGTTGCTACAGCTACTGTAATATATTACTGAAGTAGAAAGTGAGTGTAAAATATTTATGAGCGGACCGCATCACGAAAGTGCGTGTGCGAATATATGCATACGAATACAGAAGTATATCTATACATATGTGTGTATTTACCAAATAAGCCAGTCAAAGTTAATTAAGCGAGCATGCCATTAAGTCACGCAGAAACGTCAGAGAATGTCTTGATTCTATTTGAAATACATATAACAGAGGTACGAGAATATACATGTTTATAAATGTTTTGACAGGGGAAATCCCATTTTATATGAAACGTTATATTTCAGTAAAACGGTCCAACCGATAGAAAGAAATTCAGACTGTTTTACTGAAACTTTTTAAAGAACGAACGAATTTTGATGCCAAGCATCACGGTTGTTCGAATACGAGACGCGTTATTTCACTTACGGTGCATTATATGCACTATGCACGCGAACTTCTCCGTTGCCGGCCACATTCCGTTCTCCCGTGTAATTTTCAGGGTTAACCGCCAACCGTCGTACGCGATACTCTAGTTTCAGGATTGTAACCAACAACCGGTGGAATGCAAATTACCTTGATTGGTAGCTTAAGTGGAGCGCGTTCTTTCTCTCCCGTTAATAAAAGGGCTTTTTGGTGAGTTCATTGTTTCCGAACGAGTCGAAAGCTGCATATAAAATCTTAGATATTCCGAAGGAAAGTCTGCGCTCCGAATGCTTTACATGTACGAAAGAAAAATTACTGAATTATTAGACTGTAACGAACTTCCCTCCCAAAAAAAATGGAAAGGAAATGCAATGTCAGTGAAAAGTGTTAAGCGATATATCTATTTGACACGAAGTGAAAAGTTTTATCTTGAGGGAAGAAAAAAGTACGGTAGTAAAAGACTCTTCGGATTCTCTTCTCTTTCACTGATGCTGTATAGAAAACGTAATTATTTTACTGGAGGGAAAAGAATCTGAAGGGATCTTATAATTTTTCTCTTTCGAACAGAGGATGAGAAGTTTGATACTTTCGAACATTTTCCCGAGCTGGAAGCATCAACGGGGTTTTCAAGTTTGTTTATTCTAACATTTTCTCGCCAGGATGCAGCCATTATACTTGAATGCATAGAATAATGAAATGTCATGTGAGACGCGGCAATAGCGAGTTATAATTAACAATTATAACTCATAATTATAAAATGTAAACGACGCAATCTAATATAAATGCTATGAGCGGTATAACTATGGCGCTCCGATATTATAACTAAATTTTCTGTCGATTTAATCACTCTGTACATTCAAACAAACGTCTATCGTCTTCCATTTGATTCTTTCTTTCTGGTTAGTATGCCAAATATATAAACTTGATGTAACAATTATACTAACCGCATAATAATATATTAAAACGCATCTGTTTATCGCGTGGTAAATGAGTAGCTGGCTCCGAAGGCTGGCTTATGCCCAATTTCTTCACTTCCAGATAAATTGCGGATAACCTTATCCAAAAGATATCTCCATTGTATTCTGGGAAATATCTCTTGGATCAAGTTATCTAGAGGTGAAGAAATTGGGCATTAGAAAACACAACGAAAGTCACAAATACAACAGAAGAAAATTTTAAGAAATGATACATTGTTCACGGTCAACCATAAATAATGATTTATTTCTTATTATTCGTTATTTTTTATTTTTTATTCTATCGTCCATTTACATTGTTGTTTGCGTAATTCTACACGAAAGGATGGTTTTGCTGAAGTACATATTTAGAAATACAAACCTAAAAATAATTTTGTCAAACCATTTAAATAATTATACTTAAACTGATTGTTAGAACATCAAAACTTTTAACAGCATCGTTTATTATACTTAAGATCGTTACATAATTTATTTTGATGATCTAATAAAATTATTTTCAGATCCTTATCCAGTTAAATTTTTAAATACTTTAACAAAATCATTCTTTCCGTGTATATCTTACTTCATCAAGTCTAGGCTTTAAACAATACGTGCGTGACGAGTCGTTACCAGTCGATCGC